TTTGCAATGAAATCATGTCTGCCAATTCACCTTGAACAGTCTTTCTTTGGTCATCCATTTATGCACATCCATCTACAAACATTGTCATATACCTATATTATCTATATCTATTCATTCAGCCTAGGTTGTTTGCTAGGAAGACCTTTAAAAGTGTGGCTGGAATATGTATACATATGAAAACAGAGATTACTAATAAAATGTTGGCATCATGTTTTCCTCTGTTTTATTAAGCAGCCTTGCAATGTAATCATTTCTTCTTCCATGTGCTGGGTCAAACCAGAGAAGCTTAGCTTCTCTCCCCCCCACCCCCCACCCAAATACTTTTCTTTTTTTTAAAGAAACCCTATTGTATAAAAATTTAATGAAGGCAAAGACCTTGAAAGTGTCATCGGCAATGCAAGCCAAATGCACATTTCTTTTGATAGAGTATGCAGAATAAAATGGCTAGCAGTTAAAATCCAGTGGAACGGCAATAATGCGAGCTTGTAATTCTATTTCTCATTCCCCTGATTACTGTCTGATGTTTTTGTTTATCACTGAATCACACGCCGGTCCCTTCATTTGCAGCCCCATCGTGGGCAAACAACTCACGTTCCATCATGAAAAACACAAAAGGCCAGGAGAATAAATTGAACAACGTCCCCTCTTCCGCTACTTAAGGCTGCAATGATTCCAACTTTTTTATCCATTCCTCTCCCCTTCCCCTCCCTTCTCAGCCCAATACAAATGCCATTATTTTAAGAATTGGAGAGTCTAATCCTTCCTAAATTACATTAAAGCACCTGTTTTCTGCCATTTTTCTTTTCTTTCTTTTTTTCCAAGAGTTCATACGAACATTCCTTGTTTAAATTAATGAGCTTCTGCAGAATTTGCCTTGTGGGAACTGAGGATGTAATTAAGGTTAGGAGCACATGTGCTTGTCTTAGTCAGTGTTGGGGAGAGTGGTGTGTTGGTTGAAACATCTGAAATTGCATCTATTTAATTACTGGCACGCTGAGGTCTGGTTCACACATGCATGTACAATGATCCTCAGAGTAGAGCCACAGAAATGAATGAAGATGAAGTCATAATACTGCTCTATTCTGCCTTGGTCAGACCATACCTGGAATACTGTCTTCAATCCTGGGTGCCATACTTTAAGAAGGATATCGATAAACTGACACGTGTGTAGAGGAGGGAAACCGAGTTGATCAAGGGTCTGGAAACCAAGCCTTATGAGGAATGGTCAAGGGAGTTGGGTATGTTTAGCCTGAAAAAGAGGAGATTGATAAGAGATATGATAGCCATCTTCAAATATCTAAAGGGCTGTCACATGGAAGAGGGAACAAGCTTGTTTTCTCCTGCTCTGGACCCAAGCCAATGGGTTCAAGCTGCAAGAAAGGCGATTCAAACTCAAACATCAGGAAGAACTTTCTGACAGTAAGAAATGTTTGACAGTGGAACATTCTCCCTCGGGAGGTTGTGGACTCTCTTTCCTTAGAGGTTTTTAAAGCAGAGGTTCGATGGCCATCTGTTGTGGATGCTTTGGTTGAGATTCCTGCATTGCAGGGGGTTGTATAAATGATACTCAGCTTCCCTTCCAACTCTGCAATTCCATGCTGCTATATTTCTGTGGCTGCATTTAAATCATAGTTACCTGACATCTACAAATTAGTACAGTGGTGCCCCGCAAGACGAATGCCTCGCAAGACAAAAAACTCGCTAGACGAAAGGGTTTTGCGTTTTTTGAGTCGTTCCGCAAGACGAATTTCCCTATGGGCTTGCTTCGCAAGACAAAACGTCTTGCGAGTTCTTGCGAGTTTGTTTCCTTTTTCTTAAAGCTGCTAAGCCGCTAAGCCGTTAATAGCCACTAAGCCGCTAAGCTGCTAATAGCCGCTAAGCCGCTAAGCCGCTAATAGCCGTACTTCGCAAGATGAAGAAACCGCAAGACGAAGAGACTTGCGGAACGGATTAATTTCGTCTTGCGAGGCACCACTGTAGATGCATATGTTATGCAATTCTGCCTCTGTCTGTCTGTCTGTCTCTCTCTCTCTCTCTCTCTCTCTGTGTGTGTGTGTGTTTGTGTGGTGATGCATAAATGACCAGCTCCTACATCTGACTGCCTTGAATTGGCCAGCATCTGCCCTGTTCAAAACCTTGATGGGAAACCACTGGAACGACCAGTCCTTTAAAGCCAACTTCAAGAGATATTTAAATCTGCAGTCTATGCCCAACACTTAACTCAAGCGCAGATACTTGCTCTGTAGCTGAGGGCGATGTAAAACGAGAAGATATGCATGACATGAAAAGTTGTAACATACTTTCTTCTCCTTCTTCTTCTTCTCCACCCCCCCTTACACTTACATGAAGAATTTATCTTCTCAGTCACGCTCGGTATCATTTTTCACAAATGAATGGCTTTCTCCTATTTATGCGCTGTGCTGTTTCTGGCTATCAAAATGAATAATGCTTTGGGAGAAATGTTATATTAAAAAGAAGAGAAAGGGAGAGAAAAGAGAGGGCAGGTTGCTTCTAAGTGGGAGGGGGATAAGGGTGTTGTTGTTGTTTTTAAGTCCAAATTTAACCTGTTTGCGTCTTGGGCCATGTTGATGCCACATTTCCCAAGAGGCTGTTGTTTTTTAAAATCATCATTGGTTTCCATTCTCATTCAAATTAAACTAGTTCAATTAAATTAAATTAAAACCTCTATTTCATGCAGTGGTATTGACTCCAGCATAAAGACCCAATAGATGGCTGGATTCCCTTGTCTTGATAGCTCAGTGAAAACCACGCCATTGATGTGGCACCAAGTTAGTGGCATATTCCTTTTTTAAATAAAGTTTTATTAAAACTTTTCACGTTACATTAAAAAATCACACCAAATTAAACTAATCTTTTTAGTTAGTAAAAAAAAAAAGAGGGAGAGAGGAAAAAAGAAGAAAAGAGCTAAATGAATACAGAGTCCTCTCTCACAGAGATATCCTAACTTTTATCCCATACAGAGAAGGGTGCACTCCAGGCATCCCCAGCCTTCGGCCCTCCAGATGTTTTGGACTACCATTCCTGTGGGAATGTTCAGGGAGGTGGGAGAGGATATATTGTTTAATTATATCCTTTCCAACTTTCGTTAACAAGTTCTATAATTTAGCAGAGTAACATTCCCCTTTTTAAACTTACACAGCGGATAACTTGTTGCCAGGCTTGTTTAAGCCTCTAAAATAAGTTTCCTGTTAATTCCCCTTTATTCCCTCCTAAAAAGGAATAGACACAGCACAGTCTTGTATAAAAGTATAAAAATAGTTTACTCACATTCTGTTCGCAATTGGATCCCAGAAGGCAGACTTAAGTTACAAAATATATACACCTGGAATCTATCCCATAAGGAGATAGTTTCTTTGTCCTCTCTTGGCTGGAAACCAAGAGAACATCTTAGGCTGATGCTTCTTTAACAAAAGCAAAATGGAGAAGAGAGAGATGTGGTGGCCAGGCCTGTGCTTTTGTTACCTGCACAGGTAAAGTCACGCCCACCTCTGGTCACATGTAGAAGAAATTTGTCCCAGCACAGGAGGAAACAGGAAGTTTATCTACTGGCTGGACAAACATCCCTCTTCATATCTAAACATGTCCACTCTAGGAATGTTGTATTTGACTGCTCTGTGTTTCACACACCACAGGTCCCATCATCCCTGACCACTGGTCCTGTTAGCTAGGGGTCATGAGAGTTGTAGGCCAAAACATCTGGAGGGTCGCAGGTTGGGGATGCCTGATGTACTCACTCATCTCTTACCTGGGACCATTTGCCTCCCCCCCTCTCACCCTGGGAGAGCTCCCCTTCCCTCCCTCTCACACGGGGTCTTTCACCAGCTGTCCGCCATCTTCATCTTCATGCAATTCTTACCAAAATACAGAGAGAGAAAATATTAAAGAAAGTAGTAATTGAATAAAGAGAAAAAATGGAAGTAAGGGGGAAAAGGAAAATACTGTAGGTCAAAGGCAGATAAAAATAACTTCCAGCTGTTTACCTGTCAGTTGTATATACAAAAATTCTTCAAAGTGGTCAAAAGTTCAATCTAAATTAATATCCAACTGATCCTCCCTCTGCTGGGCCATATCTTGGACTCTTCAAGTCATTAACTTCTGCAGTTCCTGCATTGTGTGGGGGGGGGAGTAGATTTCCCTTGGCGTTCCCTTCCAACTCTACAATTCTGTGAACCAAAGCTCTGTCCCTTTTTGAGGCAGATTCATATGTTCATCGGCCAGCACACTTTCCCCAAAATTCAGTTCTCCAAATGTTCAAATCAGATTGCTGCTGATTCTTTTCTTCAAAGTCGCTGATAGAATTTTGCATGCCACCCCAAACTCTTGAGTGGTGCAAGATTCCAGGGGTTCTAGATGCTTGCCCAGGATTTGTGTTTCCTTTTGGGAATGAGGCCCAGTGGAGACTGTGGTGTCTTTATGGCATATGGTCTACTTACGCATATATGCAACCTGAGCCTACAATGGAGAGGTTCACAGCATTAATACCCCAAGAGAGTCTTGTTTCTCCCACTGCTGCAACCTTGGATTCAAACAGAAATCAACCATTGTGCCCTAACCTTCTCTCCAGCTTGCTGCCTTTAACAGCCTGCAACCTTTTCTCCTCCACATCACACTCAACTCAAACTTAAACTCTGACTTTGTCTTCTAACTCACTCTGAGTTGAGTAAGGGGCCCTCATCCATTTTCCATCTGCTTTCTTAATGGCCCATTACCTTCCCTTTGCTTTCTTAATGGCTCATTTCCCTGCTGATCTCCTGAACATGGGAAGCTGTGTCCGGGAATTAGGAATATAATCTAGTTTAACTCCCAGCCTTGATTGCATTCTAACACCCTCTGGACCCAGGAATTTAGGGGAGTCTGGCACCCAGAAACTCATAACATTATGCATTTTTGTGCACAATTACCCAAATATATGCATTTTTCTGCACATCTATTGGCTGGAGAACTGCATCGCAACATACGTAGAAGCTTGAATTTCAAAGGTCGGCTGTGTTTCAGTTTGCACATTGTTCTGGAAAGTGCAAATTAGGTGGATTCAGCTTTAAATGAGAATGGGAATCAATGCTTTTCCTCATCCCTAGATCTTACAAAAACATCACAAGTCTCCAAGCTCTCTTTTGTGAAGGCTGATGCCATTGGAACTTCCAACTGCTCGGGGAAGTTAGCATGAAACAATGTATAATTAGACAAATCCTTCAATGCTGCTCCTTGCTTATCTCAGCTCTGACTGATCCTGCCTCTATCTTCTCATCTCAGATTTGGAAGTCTCATTTTATTATTCTGGGGTCAAGGCAGTTCTGAGCAGAAAAACAGAAACACAGCAAATTAAGATGTGCAAGAGATTAAGGTGCTTAGGTTAATTGTGTTTTCATTTCCTTAATAAGAAAATTCTGATGATAATTCTTAGAAAAAGGCATTGGTCTTCTTAGTACTACAGAGAGCTCTGCCCAGACAGAATTAGTGCTTAAGTCCTATCCCACTTACCTGGGAGTAATCCCCATTGAACTCAGTAGGATTTGCTTTTGAGCAAACATGCATAAGATTGAAAAGCTAATTCATATAACTCAGCCCAGCAATACAGTGGTATTTTTGCATTGTCTTTAATTTGCTTTTAAAACATTTGAATCACATTTGTAGGCTCTGAGAGGACTTGCAAGAATCGTATCAAAATCAATGAAACAAAACCATAGAATTACTGAGTCGGAAGGGACTTTGGAAGTCAACTCCCTGTTCAGCGCAGGATCTGTACCATGGGTGGCAAACCCATGGATGCAGCTAGCAGCCCAATAATTTTTTTACAAAACCCAACTGATCCCATAGGTCTTCAACTGTGATGTCAAAAAGGTTTTATAGCCCAACCATTCCCCACCCCTTTTTAATATGTATATTAAAAAAATATATATCAGTAATTACTGGCGGCTCCTTCAGATCTGCCACTGTGAAGCTGTGCTATTGTGATGGTAATTTTTGGAGGGAGGGGCAAGTGGTTTTCTGTGACCTCCACAACTCCCCCTTCCCATATATGTACTAGTTTTGTGTAGCCAATTCAGCTGAGTCCTGGCCAAGCCAAACCAGACACACTCAAAAGGACTCAGACAGTGCTTTTGGGGGGTGGGGATGGGGAACACAGGGGTACACATACCCCTAAACATTTTGTGAATCTAAGGGGAGAAGAAACTAATTTTTTTTTAATTGGGCAGTTTTGTTGTTACCACCTCTGATGGCGGCTTCCTTTCCTTTCCCGGTGTTTTCTGAGTCTCAGACGGAAGTGAGTGTTTAATGTGTGAAGCAGTGTGGAATGTGGATGTGTGGTGTTTTTACTGATGAAAGTTTGGCCTCAGTGAGTTAGTTTAAGCCTTCAGTGTATGTGAACTCATGGTTTTTGAAAGGACAACATCTAGCAATGGACACCAACACGCAAGCAGAGGAATTGGGAAGATGTTCGTGCACACAGCCTCATGCCAATATGGAAGTCACTGTGAGCTGTCAGCTGTGTAATATGAGGTAATATGGTTTTGTTTTGGTGTAATTGTTTTTTGTTTGTTTGTTTGCTTTTATATTTTGTAAATGGAGGCGAGTATGAGGCTTGGGATTCCTACTGTGGAGGGGCGAGGGAGGTATGCGGGTGGGGGCAGATGTCATAGGCGAAGGGGATCAAGATACGGATACGCTCGTACCCCTTCCAATCTGCGCCTCATCCCGAGGGACGAGGGTAGGGTGAGCAAGGATTACTCACCTCCGTCACTGGTGTTGTGCAATGCCAGGTCTATAGGCAACAAAACCGCCACCCTGCGAGATTTCTTCATCTCGCAGGGGGTCGACCTGGCTTGTGTGACGGAGACCTGGGTGCGCGAAGGGGATACTGTTACCTTATGAGAGATGGCGCCCCCGGGTTTCTCTGTCCTCCACCAGTCGCGGACTGTGGGCCGGGGGGGAGGGGTGGCATTATTAATCCGGGAAGATTGTTCTTTCAGGGCTCTACCATCGCCATCGATCCCCGGCATTGAATGTGTTGGCCTAGTGTGGGGCTCCCAGGTGAGCTTGGCTGTCTGGCTGGTGTACCGGCCACCTAGCGCACCAGCAGCCACCCTGTCAGGCCTGCTGGAGGCGGTGGCCGGCTGGGCCTTGGAGTTCTCTAACCTATTGGTATTGGGGGACTTCAACATCCATGCTGATGCCACTCCCTCCTCACAGGCTCTGGACCTGGTGTCTTCCATGGCGACACTAGGGCTCTCCCAGTTTGTTTCGGGCCCCACACATCAAGCAGGCCACACGCTGGATTTGATCTTTGGCGTCGGTATAGATGTGATCATGTTTCCTTCGATGAAGGTGCCATGGTCTGATCACTACGCTCTGAAAGCCAGGATTGACGTTCCACCCCCACCCTGCTTAGGTGGCAAGCCGATTTGGGCTCGTCCACAGAGGCTGATGGACCCTGATAGATTCCGTCAAGCCTTGTGGGACCTTTCTCCCCCTGGCGACTCATTGACTGAGCTTGTTGAGGGCTGGAATACCCAGCTCCTGGCAGCCATCAATGACATCGCACCTAAGCGCCCTCTGCGACCCCGCAGAAACCGGGCTCCCTGGTTTACCGAGGAGCTCCGGAAAATGAAGCGGGACCTCAGACGGCTAGAGCGAGTATGGCGGGGTGCCCGTGACGGAGCCTCAAGAACATCTTATAGGGCTTTTATGAAAACCTACGAGATGGCAGTGAAGGCCGCTAAGAAGTCCTACTTCTCGGCCTCCATTGCATCCGCTAGCTCTCGCCCGGCGCAATTATTTAGTATAATTCGGTCTTTAACGTCCCTCGAAGGACAGCCAAATTTAAATAACAATTTGACACACAGCTGTGAGGCATTTGCGAGCTTTTTGCGGAGAAGGTCCTGTTGCTCCGCCATGACCTCCCTGCCAATTTGGATACAATAAAGGAACTGGAGGCCCCTCGACTGTCCTCGGGTCCAGTATTGGACCGCTTTGACCGGATATCCCCAGCCGATGTGGACAGACTCCTCCGAGCTGGAAAGCCCACCACTTGTCCTCTCGACCCGTGCCTGTCCTGGCTGATTAGAGCGTGTCCAGACGAGGTGCGGGCCTCCCTGGGGGATATCATCAATTTGTCCCTTGGCACCGGGACATTCCCAGGGGTACTGAAGGAGGCAGTGGTGCACCTGCTTTTAAAGAAAACATCATTAGATCCCTTAGATCTATCCAATTACCGCCCGGTTTCGAATCTTCCATTCCTGGGTAAGGTGATTGAGAGAGCGGTTGCTGAACAGCTTGGTAGGTTTCTGGATGAAACATCGGCTCTGGATCCATTCCAGTCCGGCTTCCGCGCTGGTCATGGGACCGAGACGACTCTGGTCGCCCTAACAGATGATCTCCGCAGGCAGCTGGATCGAAGCGGGTCGGGGCTGCTGATTCTTCTAGACCTGTCAGCAGCCTTCGACATGGTCGATCACGAACTCCTGGACCACCGCCTTGCCGACGTGGGGATCCAGGGCACAGTCCTTCAATGGCTGCGCTCGTTTCTCTCTGGTCGGGGACAGAGGGTGGCGCTTGGGGGGGAATTGTCATCCCGCCACTCCTTGGTGTGTGGAGTGCCCCAGGGTGCGATACTCTCCCCGATGCTTTTAACATCTTTATGCGCCCCTCGCCCAGCTTGTCCGGAGTTTTGGGCTGGGCTGCCATCAGTATGCTGATGACACCCAACTCTATCTGTTGATGGATGGCCATCCTGACTCGGCCCCAGACACACTGATCAGATGCTTGGAAGCTGTGGCTGGATGGTTACGTGGGAGCCGGTTGAAGTTAAATCCTTCGAAGACAGAGGTCCTCTGGCTGGGACGGGACGATATGGGATTGAGGGGGGCAACTCCCATCTCTTGCGGGGGTGCAATTAGTGCCAGCACCGTCCGTTAAGAGTTTGGGTGTAATCTTCGATACCTCCCTCTCCATGGAGGCGCAGATTGCAGCTATAACAAAGGCGGCATTTTTCATCTCCGCCAAGCTAAGCAGTTGGCTCCTTACCTCTCTCGCCCTGACCTAGCCACTGTGATCCATGCGACGGTCACCTCCAGACTGGATTATTGTAACTCGCTCTACGTGGGGCTGCCCTTGAGACTGACCCAGAAACTCCAGCAGGTGCAGAATGCAGCAGCGAGACTCCTTATGGGGTCTTCGCTGTGAGATCACATTCTTCCGGTGCTATACCAGCTGCACTGGCTCCCGGTGGAGTACAGGATCAGGTTTAAGGTGCTGGTTTTAACCTTCAAAGCCCTATACGGCCTAGGACCCTCGTACCTACAGGACCGCCTCTCCTGGTATGCCCCACAGAGGAACTTACAGTCTTCAAATAAAAACATCTTGAAGGTCCCAGGCCACAGAGAGGTTAGGCTGGCCTCAACTAGAGCCAGGGCTTTTCGGCTGTGGCTCCAACCTGGTGGAACGCTCTGTCACAAGAGACAAGGGCCCTGCAGGACTTGACATCTTTCCGCAGGGCCTGCAAGACAGAGCTGTTCCACCAGGCCTTTGGTCAGGGCGCAGCCTGACTCCCTCCTTTGGCAATCTTTACAAAACTTTAGTTTATGGTTGCCATCAATTTTGATTTTAATTAATTTTTATAATGTTTTATAATGTTGCACTATTTTAGTGTTGTTAGCCGCCCTGAGCCCGGCTTCGGCTGGGGAGGGCGGGATATAAATAAAATTTATTATTATTAATACATGTTCTTCGTACTTTTGTCCATTTACTGTATTTATTTTTTCCTGATTTGAACTATAAAATGGTGATTTTCTTGAGTCAAAATGAGAGTATCCCTAAACATTGTTTTTAAAAGAAAAAAAATCACTGGACTCATGTATTGGGCACACTGAGTACAAACAGCCATGGACTGCTATAGCTCAGGGTGGATGGCCCAGAGTGATCTGTGGTTGTCCGGCCGTTGAGTGGGCAGGATATCAGGCAGGAAAAAGAGGCACACATCAGGTGGGGAAACCCCATGTAAATACTGGCACCTACCCTAACCACCAGTTGCATCTTCCCAGGAGAAGACAATCACCAACCTCCTGATCACCTTCCTTGCTGAGACCAATCCCTGGAGTGGATCTATGGCTCTACCATCCAAGCTGGTGACCATCACTGCCTACTACAGCAATGAATTCCATAGCTTAAGTATATGCTGCTTTCATGAACTAGTAGGACAAATGGGGAGGAGGAAGAGGATGCCGGTGAGGGGGGTAGCTGGGGCTGGAGCGTGCCAGGGCAAGCTGCAAACGGGGAAGGAGAAATTGATGTAGGAAGTACTCACGGGATGACAGAGGATGATGTGGGGATGGGGATCAGTGCACAGGAACCGGAGCAGCAGGACCCATCACCAGAGCCAGAAGGGTCCCTGTCTCCACAAACATGGTGGGCTCTGAGGCGTAAGGGACAGCAGGCAGGGTGCTCCAAAAGGCTGAGGCAGGTAAGTGTGGGATGTGATACATAAGTAGCAGTAAGTACAACATTCCTTGTTTTCCTAGAGTGGACATGCAAGGGAATGTTTGGTCACAAACTTCCTGTTTCCTCCTGGCTGGACATACTTCCTTTGCATGTGACTATAGGTGGGTGTGACCTTACCTGTCCAGGTAAAACAAAAGGACAAGGCAACTTCCTCTCTTTATTGAAGCAGCTTTTTAGCCAGAGATGCCCTGTTGGCTTTCAGTCAACAGAGGACAAAGAAAGTACAGTGGTACCTTGGTTTGCAACCGTTTTTGATTACAACTGTTTTGGATAACAACCATGTCAAACCCTGAAGTGTGTATCCCTTTTTTTGGATTACAACCCATTTTATTTTATTTTTTTGGATTACAACCATTTATTTACTTTTGAGGCCCCATTGGCAAAAGCGCGCCTTGGCTTATAATCTGCTTTGGGCCTGCAGAACGGATTATGGTTGTAAACCAAAGTATCACTGTATCTCCATATGGGATAGATCCACATGTATATATATCTGTAACTAAGTCTGCTTTCAGGGATCCATCTGTGAACTGATGTTGCTGTGAGTAAACTACTTTTATATATCTTAAATAAGATTGTGGCGTGTTCATTCTTTTAAGAGGGAAAATTAGGGATCTTACCAGGAATCCATATTGAGAAGCTTAAACAAGCCTGCAACCAGCTACCCGCTGTGCATTAAAAAGGGGAATGTTTAAAACTCTGCTAAGTTATAGAACTTGCTAGCGCAAGTTAGGAAGGATATTAATAAACAATATATCCTCTTCTGCCTCCCTGAACATTCCCACAGTAAGGGCCCACAGCCCAGCTCACTAGCTGGCCACTTGGGGCCCACAAGCTCTGGGAGGAGGTGTGTGATTCTTCAGCTGGAGCAGGCTTAAAACAGGTGAGGGTCACATGCTTCAATCAGCATTCCAAGTACGAAAGGGCAGCAGAGCTGAGGTGCTGTGTCTGCTCAACTGCCCATGTTGAGGGACCTCAGCTTGGATGTTTTGGTTAGGACTTTGGACATGTGGATTGACCCAGACTAGGAACTTGACATACTGACAGCTGCATGAAGAAGTACTTACCTTTATCTGCCTACGTTTTCTTTTCTGGTCTACGATGACTGGTAGTGGCTCCCCAGGACTTCAGACAAGGTGTCTTCTCCAGATCTACCCAGAGAAGCTGGGGGTTGAACCCAGGACCTTCTGTATGCAAGGCAGATAATCTGCCACTGAGCTCAAAACCCCTTCCCTGAAATACTGGCCTTGGGCACTTGGTGGTTCTCTCTCTCTCAGGGAGCAAAAAGTCTTGAGCTGGCCCTGCTGGTTCCTCTGACTGTATGGGGCAGCTTATGTTGGCCACCTGACAGTCAAGAGAGAAAAGAACTGCTCTTATAAACCTGACACTCCAGTATCCCACCCCGCCTTTGTTTTTTGCCAGCTATTATGAGAAGCTGTCCATGGGCATTCAATCCTAACTTAATTAAGTTGGCAAGCCTCAACACTGCACTGTCGGGGCCTGTTATATTTGCGAACCTGCTGGGTATCAAGTATTCGTCAACTGCCTGCATTAACTTTTGATCCACATGACATGCAATAAATCTAGGCTGCTGCCCTGCTGAGTTTGATTTTATAACCTCAGCGTTGTTAAGGCAAACCCTGCATCTCAAAGCCAGTCCCTGTCAGGCCCTCTCCCAACTGCTATTCATGCCTTGCCTAGTCCTGATCTGTCCCCCCCCTTCTTTTTGCTCCTATTTTGATTGATCTGCCAATCTCTTGAGAAGGACTCGAGCATGTTCAGAGCTATAAACCTAAGATGATCTGTGTGCACCTCTTCTTGGCATCTAGCAAGCAGGTGTGCCAACTATAAACCCAGAGAGAGAGATGCTATTAAAAACCACTGAGCGTAGAATCTGGGATCCACAGCACTGGTGGGTATTTGGGTATGCAATGGCTGGATATAGCACTAGCAAAAATGAGATGCTGGTGATGATTTCAATTTATTTGTCACTTGTCACATAAACAGTAATATCCAAGGAAATTATTGCACATGCAGAGTGATGTTTGTGATTTATTTTCTTGACAGACTTTACAAAATTGCCAGCATTTTAGTTTGATTTTTCTCTTAAAATACCATTTTTTTGTATGCAATTATCCCTAATGCATGCATTTTGAAAGCAACTTTACCCAATAGGCTGCATCTTTGCATGGCAAAAATAAAATATATTTATTTCACAAATAGATGCATCCATGCACCTTCTTCCCTAATAGACAGTTTTCTATACACTTTTTGTTGTTGTTGTTTGAGAATTGCATATATTTTTTTTTTTTAAAAAAAGAAAACTAGGAAAATGAGTTTTGAAAGATAGCTACATTTCTGGTTGCATATTGTTTCGGGAAGAGTGAATCGGGTATGTTTGTGTTAGAATCAAACCAAAATTCTCCAGCTTCTCTATCTTTCTCTGGGGTACCACTGACAGCCAGGCTCTACCTGTTAACTACAATAGCTATGCTCTGTCTATATGGTTAGAGGCAGTAATACTTCTGAGTAGCAGTTGCTGGCGGTCACAGGAGGGGAGAGTGTTCTTGTGTTCAAGTCCTGCTTGCCTGTTTCCCACAGGAGTGCCAACTTGGCCCCGTGTCCAATTTGTGGGTGCCTGTCCCCTTCATGAGGAATCTTGTGGGTGCTCGGGCACCCAGGTCCACAGGGAGTTGGCACCTATGCACAGGTACATGGTTAGCCAATATGAGAATGGGAGGATGAGCAAGAGAGAACTGTGGCTATTTTAGATGCGGTGAATACCCAAAGCTTCCAGAATGAGAAGTTTTGCATATCCTGAAAGGCAACACACCTATCAAATTATTGATGGAAGTGCCATATTAAAAGCCAGTGCTCAGAAAGCATTTAATGCTAAAGTAGTATTTCACTGTTCCATCACTTTGCATGCTGGTTGGTCTGTACCCAAGGCCTTATGTGTGGTACCCAGATCAGGCAACCACACATTGGATTCAAACCATGCATCCCCCTCAACTGAAACTCTTTAATAAGCCAGCTCAACTTTCTCTCTCTCTCTCTCTCTCTCTCTCTCTCTCTCTCTCTCTCCTGCAATTAATTTTTATGGGGTTGAATTTATAGCCAGAGAGCACATAAATGAGGCCATATATCAAGCGGCCATGCTGTAATCCTGACAACAAAATTATTTGACAGTAAAATATCAAATATCCTTTTAAACACTTTTTAAAGCGTGCCAGAGGTGACTTTGAAGCAGGGCGAGCAAACAAACTCTCCCCGCTTTTCACTTAAGGATTTGTGTCCATTAGAGTTCGTCCGTTGGCAAAAGGTTCAGGAATATAGCATGATCATAATCAGAAAGCCCACAGCTCTCACCAGATTCCTGCTAATATCTGCCAAAGTAGAGCTGTTCTCTTGAGAAAAATCCATCACCTAGTAACTCGGGGGGAGGGGGATCGTGATTATCCTGCTGGCCCCACCCCAAGTCAACATCCAGGGCAGGGGGCTCCCTCTACAGCAGGGATGGGGAGTTTGTGGCACTCCAGATACAATCATAGGATTTTAGAGTTGGAAGTTACCCCAAGGGTCATCTAGTCCAACCCCCTGCAATGTGGGAATCTGAACAAAAGCACCCATGACAGATGGCCATCCTGTTAGTATTCATGCTCCCTGATTGCAGTCATGGGATTTTTGTCTATCACATGACGCTGTATGTTTTGACTCCACAAAGTAGGAAGTAACAGAGACACATGTTCTGTGAAGTGGGACTATTGTCCTTTGTTCTTTCTCTTTGCTGTCTGATGCTAGAGAAGAGGGAGCCATGTTGCAGTGCTCCGTGTGTGTTTATATGTAAATAAAGTAGATTAGCCAAAATGCTGAGTTGCTGAGGTCTGTCACGCAAGCTGCGAAGACTCTGCAGATCCTTAAGTGTGCCGGTGTCAGTTGGCATCGGTCGCTGTGATGTTTGGGCAGAAGAAAGCTTTTGAAGTTCCCTAGCGATCAACCAGGAGGGAGGAAACATGTCAGGCACATGTCTCTACCAGGGTCCTACTCGAGTGTAGGACGAGCTCCTGCCACATCCAACCTCTGCTTAAAAATCTCCAAGGAAGGAGAGACCACCACCATTCCACCCCCAAACAGCTCTTACTGGCCTCCAACTCCATCAACCTCATCTTCGTGTAGATGTTCTGTGGGATAACCAGCCTCATATTACTAACATGCCTGTTTAATTAATGCGTGAAGGGGTTAAACCAATAGAGAGTAAGCTGTCCTGCCAGACTTAGCTCACCTTAGGAGGGACTAGGTGATCAAGCCTTTGTTTCCCCAGTCTACTTAAAAAGCTCAGTGTGTGAAGTGGTTCAGCTCACTGCTGAAATTTAAACACAAGTCTCTCTTGAGTTCCTATGCCAATAATTTAGGAACTTTCACCACTTTTGCAACTAAACAAAGTTTTACTGCCTGCATAACTTTTCTAACTGTTTTATGGAAAAACATATGAATCTGATCTTTGGAGTGTTTGTAAGTAAACCATTTTTAACTTACCAAACAGGTGGTCTTTTCATTCGCTGGAGGAAAAGGGAAGTTGTGGAACTCAAAAGGGCATCTTTTAAAAGGATAAAAGCTTATATTTCCACATTTTTTTCTACAAACCCTTGGATTGAGGTATTGCATAGGAGTATTGGTTGCTGCTGCTGCTGCTGCTGTTATTGATGTTAATTTTTCGTATCTTTATTTTTAGTTCTTGCTATGATTTATGTGGAAATTGTTCAATTTGGTTGTGTGCATTTTGATGTATTTTATTCATTTTTTATGACTACTTTGCTTGTTAGTAATAATGTAAATCTTTTCATGTTGTAAGCTGCCTTGAGCATGGCTTTAATTATGGGAAAGTAGCATACAAATATGCTAAAAAGCAGAGACATCACCTTGCCGACAAAGGTCCATATAGTTAAAGCTAGGGTTTTCCCAGTAGTGGTGTATGGAAGTGAGAGCTGGACCATCAAGAAGGCTGATTGCCGAAGAATTGATGCTTTTGAATTATGGTGCTGGAGGAGACTCTGGAGAGTCCCATGGACTGCAAGAAGATCAAACCTCTCCATTCCTAAGGGAATCAGCCCTGAGTGCTCACTGGAAGGACAGATCCTGAAGCTGAGGCTCCAATACTTTGGCCACCTCATGAGAAGACTCCCTGGAAAAGACCCTGATGTTGGGAAAGATGGAGGGCACAAGGAGAAGGGGACGACAGAGGACAGGATGGTCGGACAGTGTTCTCGAAACTATTAACATGAGTTTGACCAAACTGCGGGAGGCAGTGGAAGATAGGAGTGCATGGCGTGCTCTGGTCCATGGGGTCATGAAGAGTCGGACACGACTAAACGACAAGCATAGAAATAAAAATATGATGATATCTGTCTGAAGTCTGGAAGCCTACCCTACGATACATGCACAGAGGGAAAATGAAACCAGCAACAGGATTCCTCCAAATAAAAAAATTCCTTCCAGTAGCACCTTAGAGACCAACTAAGTAAGTTATTGGTATGAGCTGACTAAGTATGGTATCTGAAGAAGTGTACATATACACAAAAGCTCATACCAATAACATACTTAGTTGGTCTCTAAGGTGCTACTGGAAGGAATTTTTTTATTTTGTTTCGACTACGGCAGACCAACACGGCTACCTACCTGTAACTAGGATTCCTCCAGTACATTTTTCACATACTTTGTCTCCGCTGCCTTTGAAACTTTTTCCTCTGCTTCTTGCAACACCTAAAGCTTACCTTTAGTTGCTGCCAGACTGTTCCTTTCTTGATCGATTGCCCAACCCAATGCCTGCTCATTCTCAGCAGCACTTAAAAACTTTGTTTATTAGACAACGTATGGCTCCTTATGTTATTTGCAGAGGATCTTAATGGTTCTCCTTGTATTGTTCAGGATACAAATGTCTGTATTAACAACAGCAAGGGCAGAAACATCTCTTAATATGCCCAGCTCATCAGAGTGGCTCATCCTTATGGGTGCCTTAATAAGGCATTTAAAATCATAGGGAAATGCCACCTGACAAAAAAATATTTTTTATTTCCACTTTCCCTTCCTACCTTCTCGGACCCACCACTGAATAACCAGGTGGAAATCATGCATGAAATATGATTCTATTTAGTTTAATGGCACGCAGAGCCCAAATGGGCACACTCAGTGTATTATCTTAGCACTGCAAGACTCCATAATGTTTAATGCAATGGGAATCTGTTCAATACTGAACACGAATGAATGTGGAACGAGGCCTTCCTCAGCCTTCTTCCCATTATCAGCAGAGCAGTAAATTCCAAGAAGCTGCTCCAATTGTGCTCATTTCCAAAGTTTGGTGTATTTATGGACACAAATCCCATTGTATACTCTTAGTTGGTAGACCTTGCCTTCCTTACTAGAGCCTCCCATGTCTGAATCCATTCCAAAACCCACGTTTCTCAATCATGAAAATGGCAATATGCCTATAGGTTAGCAAGAAGACAGCGGCATGCCTTTGCAGAGCACTTGGCATTGCTAGTTCAAGCATCTCAGCAAGTGATGCATTTGGGGAAGGCCTTGGCCATGCTATAAGCAGGATGAGCGATAGAGATGGCAGCACTGGCCGAAAGCTGGACAAGGACTCAAAATGGGCATCAAAAACAGTCTCCGAGAACGGGATGGGTTTCATATCAGATGTATGCAAATAGGGGGGTCAGTGTGGCCAAAGAGTGTACGGCGTTCAAGAGATGTGTCCCCCATGGGTAGGGAGAAGGAAGGAATTTGCCCCGCCTTCAACCAAAATGAGAACCCAAACTCCGCTATGCCTTGAAATTCACACTTCTCCAAATTTCATGATGCGGTTCTCCAACCAATCATTGTGTGCAAACACAAACACGTCAGGTAAGCATTTGCATAAAATGTGTATATCAGTGAAAAGAACATTCAACATGCATTACATGGGAGAAAACTGATTTGCAAAAATAGAAATGTGTATTGATCTTTCCGATATCCTGCAACTCATTCCCATGGCTTTTTTTTTTTAATAAGATATTTATTAAGATTTTCAAAATATTACAACATAGAAAAAGAAAAAAGAAAAATATAAAAGAAAAATACAAAATAAAAGTAGTTAAAAACAATTCAGTCTTTCAATCACTTATCTTTCATTTGCTTATTTCCCGGACCTCCTCACGCCTCCCTTTTCTGTATTCCTATTCAGTTTGTTAGTTCAGCAAATTCCTCCCCTCTTTGTTAATCCTAATCTTCAATCTTAAAATATTATAACCTTAGATTTTTGCCTGATAATAATCCATTTTTTCATATTCCCTTATAACATTACAGCTAAAAACCACTTAATTTCTATCCAACATCATTCTAACATTCATTAATTTTACAATATTTCTGTAAATAGTCTTTGAACTTTTTCCAATCTTCTTCCACCGACTCTTCTCCCTGGTCTCGGATTCTGCCAGTCATTTCTGCCAATTCCATGTAGTCTATCACCTTCATCTGCCATTCTTCCAAGGTGGGTAGATCTTGTGTCTTCCAATACTTTGCGATTAGTATTCTTGCTGCTGTTGTGGCATACATAAAGAAAGTTCTATCCTTCTTTGACACCAATTGGCCGACTATGCCCAGGAGAAAGGCCTCTGGTTTCTTCAAGAAGGCATATTTAAATACCCTTTTCAATTCATTATAGATCATCTCCCAGAAAGCCTTAATCCTTGGGCACGTCCACCAAAGATGAAAGAATGTACCTTCTGTTTCTTTACATTTCCAGCATTTATTATCGGGCAAATGGTAGATTTTTGCAAGCTTGACTGGGGTCATGTACCACCTGTATATCATTTTCATAATATTCTCTCTTAGGGCATTACATGCCGTAAACTTCATACCTGTGGTCCATAACTGTTCCCAGTCAGCAAACATAATATTATGTCCAACATCTTGTGCCCATTTAATCATAGCAGATTTCACCGTTTCATCCTGAGTATTCCATTTCAACAGCAAGTTATACATTCTTGACAAATTCTTAGTTTTGGGTTCTAACAGTTCTGTTTCTAGTTTTGATTTTTCCACCTGGAAGTCAGTTTTCTTATCCAAATTGTATGCCTCCATTATCTGATAATAATGAAGCCAATCTCGCACTTTGTTTTTTAGTTTCTCGAAACTCTGCAATTTCAATTTGTCTCCTTCTTGTTCTTGTTCTTGAGCCTTTTCTGAGCCTTTGCTTCCATCGGTGACAACCACCTTGGGGTTTTATTTTCAAGTAAGTCCTTATATCTTATCCAGACATTTAGCAATGCTTTCCTGACAATATGGTTTTTAAATGCTTTATGTGCTTTAACCTTGTCATACCACAAATATGCATGCCACCCAAAAACATTGTTGAAACCTTCTAGGTCCAAAATGTCTGTGTTCTCAAGAAGCAGCCATTCTTTCAACCAGCAGAATGCTGCTGATTCATAATAAAGTTTGAGGTCTGGCAGGGCAAATCCGCCTCTGTCCTTTGCATCAGTTAATATTTTAAATTTTATTCTGGGCTTCTTGCCCTGCCAGACAAATCTAGAGATGTCTCTCTGCCACTTCTTGAAACAGTCCATTTTGTCTAAGATTTGCAATGATTGAAACCTCATTCCCATGGCTTTTGGACACCACAGAAAGACTTTAAGAAGCAGGCTGGCACACTAAGTAGAATAATAGACGCGTAACCACACGACCCTGACCCCTCTTTCCCCCTTTTTTTCTTCTGAATTGTTTAAACCAATTCATAAACCAAGAACTTATACATCAACCACTAATAATGAAACATGTAGATATATTTCCACATTTATTATGCTATTTTTGTGATATACAAATGACATGAGAAAACTTGGTATACTTATTTGTTTAACATTATTCTTGTTTATAAAACCCATAGAAGAAGAAGAAGAAGAAGAAGAAGAAGAAGAAGAAGAAGAAGGAAGAAGAAGAGGAAGAGGAAGAAGAAGAAGAAGAAGGAAGAGGAAGAAGAAGAAGAAGAAGGAAGAGGAAGAAGGAAGAAGAAGAAGAAGAAGAAGAAGAAGAAGAAGAAGAAGAAGAAGAAGGAAGAAGAAGAAGAAGAAGAAGAAGAAGAAGAAGAAGAAGAAGAAGAAGAAGGAAGAAGAAGAAGAAGAAGAAGGAAGAAGAAGAAGAAGAAGAAGAAGAAGAAGAAGAAGAAGAAGAAGGAGGAGGAGGAGGAGGAGGAGGAGGAAGAGGAAGAAGAAGAAGAAGAAGGAAGAGGAAGAGGAAGAGGAAGAAGAAGAAGAAGAAGAAGAAGAAGAAGAAGAAGAAGAAGAAGAAGAAGAAGAAGGCTGGCTCTTAAAGCTATTGCAGTTCTTCTTATATATCTTATGGAACATGATATTGATGGGCTTCAGCATGGGGAAAACAATTCAGTCCACTCCACCGCCAGTCCTTAATGCCAGGGGCTGCCAAATATTTGGGACTCGTGGGCACATTTGCAAACTGTTGCAAGCACCATTCACCTGGCACAGTTGTCACACAACTATGCACATGGATGCATACTGAAGTTGTTTCCTCCCCACCAGCGTTTAGGCTGAAAAGAGTTGTTATTGTTCTTGCTTTTTCTCTCCCCTGCCCCCCAGCCTAATGTGATTGTGATCTTACTGGAGAATGCAGATGGAGAGGCAGTAGTTAACGTTCCCAAGCCTACTCTCAACATGGAAGGTGTGGAGAGGTGGGACACCTGGGCCCCTAGGAAGGGCTAAAGTCCACCTGTGGGCCCTGCACTGACAACCCATGTTTTACTCTCTTTAGAAAAGTGATGGGGGAGGAAGCTGGGGAGATAGAAACAGAATAAGCACAGCTAAATAATCAATAGTTTTGTGTGCAGGGCGGGGGGAGGGGGCATAAATGGAAAGCACAGTCATGAGTAATAATAGAGCAAATTCCTGACTCCTGCTGCATCTATAACTATAATTTTGCAAAATGACGCAAATTATTGGGGCCTGGCAATGTTGCCCACGGAAGCTTAAATGTTTTGTAAGTAGTATTGATTTGGATTTGAATGTCAGAGACTAGTCTTATCAGCCTCCGCTGCCCCACCAACCAACATTGGCACAGACAGAAACACACACGTACACACACCACCACATAATGATCATATTGTCCTCTGAATTCTAATTAAGTGTCTTTACTTTGAAAGCCGGCAAACAGCAGTGCAAGTATGCAATTATCAAGGTAGTTATTGACCCTTTGCGGGGGCAGAATGACCACAATTTTAAGCATTGCTGAATAGCGCATGATTTGCATTGAATGAAGCCCTTTTTTTCACCAAGATGGATTGGTTCTGCTTTCTAAATATATAATTTGCAGTCCTGAAAGAGATGACTTAAATAGTTCAAATGGAACATGAGACGGTTATTAACAGGTCTGATGACATGGCAATGTGAAATATTAACCTTTGCAAAATCAATCGCCTGCTCATCTCTCCTTGTCAAAGGAAAACTAATTGAATTAGTCAGCAGAGAAGTTTGGGTCTGATTCAGCAAAGCAGAGCAGCGCAAAGGTCGGGTTGGATCCGGCACAACGAAAGCTAATGAGCAGGTGCCAGATGGGATACATGAACTGGGGTGCTCCAAAGCTCTCTTCGGGGTATTACACACTTGAATAAGCAGAACATGGATGTGAGAACAAGAACGTTAGCTCTGCTTCCACCCAACGCACCACTGTCAACCCCAAAGTCAAGGGAATTTTCAGCCTAAGGGCTGCATTTACTTTCTGAAGGCCACAGGAAGGTTAATATGGCCAGAGGAGGGGCAGACCAATGGGTGTTGCTCCTGACCTTTGAACGATTGGCTGCATCCCAGCCATGCAAAAGTCATCTAATCCAACCCCTTGCAATGCAGGAATCTCAGCTAAACATCCATGACAGATGGCTATCTAACCTCTGCTTAAAAACCTCCAAGGAAGGAGAGGCTACAACCTCCCAAGGGAGACCATTCCACTGTCAAACAGCTCTTACTGTCAGAAAGTTTCTCCTCATGTTTAGTTAGAATCTCCTTTCTTGTAACTTCAAGCCATTGGTTTGAGTCCTACCCACCAGAGCAGAAGAAAACAAGCTTGCTCCATCTTCCATTTGAAGATGGCTATCATATCTCCTTTCCTCTCAGTCTCCTCTTTTCCAGGCTAAACATACCCAGCACCTTCAACCATTCCTCCTGAGGTTGGGTTTCCAGACCCTTGATCATCTTGGTTGTGCTACTCTGTCCATGCCTCAGCTTGTCAATATTCTTCTTAACCTGAATGCCCAGAACTTGACACAGTACTCCAGATGTGGTATCCAGCATCTGGCATCTAGCACCTCAGTCACCAGAACATGAGACTCTTAATCTCAGGGTTAGAGCCCCATGTTGGGCAAAAAGATTCCTGTGTTGTAGTGGGTTGGACTAGATGATGCTTCCAACTCTATGATGCTATGATTCTGTCTCTATGGCAACAGAGCAACCTATTTGGATACGGTAAATAGCAGTGCTTGATTGGCCAGCTAAGACCATCATCTTAACAAATGAACTGGTTTGGCTGCTTAGCAGCCTCTTCTACTAGATTCTACACAGGAAACCATCCAACCCTGTGATCCTCAGAAGAAGAGTGGCACAGAAATTCAATAAATGAATAAACACATAATTTCGTAATGGTTTTCTTTTATGTTGATACATGAAGTATGGAAAGGTCCCTTTGGTCTTCAGCATAGTTCTATCCACAACACTGGATCAGCATCGGATCACTCTCTGACAAACACCCTGGTCTCTGATTTATTGTAATCAGTTATGGAATCTCAGAGTTTTGGGCTGAAAAAGAGGCAGAGGTCGTACTCCAGGGATCCAGAGGCAGTAATATGTTTAATGTGGTGGTGCTGGCATTTTCAAACTTTTGCTTTTGTTTAAAATGTAGGGATGCATTAAATGTGTTTACACCATAAAGCTTCCACTGCCCTTTTCAAAATGCTTCGCGCAGCATCGCTTTATCTCTCCTGAACAGTGCAGAATTTATAGCTTTCCGAGGCTGGCAAAGGTTCCCTTCTTCTCATTTCCTTTTGTACTTGCAATATTAACAAATCATTTAAGCGCAATTCCCATACAGCCCCGGTGCACTTTACAAAGTAATAGAACAATATAACATTGCAATACTGTCCTAGATGGCCCCACAAATTAGGCAAAAATACAATCAGTCGACCTCCCAGTGTCAATTGAAATGAGTACAGCAAACCCGTCTTTATTTCTTCGGAGAGGATAATGCCTGCAAAAACATTTGCCACTTTGGTATCTCAAGAAATACTGGAATATGCATGAGTCCCTGTTGTAGGAATTCAAGGTAACAGAGAATATGCAACATAATAAAAGCTTTCTTGATCAGTCCCAGAGCCTATCTAGTTAAGCTTCCTGTTTCTTGCTTCTATAAAGCTCACAATAGCTTTTTCCCATAGTTGCTCACCAGCCATAGGCCTTCTGCTTCTAAAGTGTGAGGGCTACTTTTGCAGTCATAAGAACATAAGAGCAACCCTGCTGGATCAGGCCAAAGGTCCATCTATGGCCACTAGGAGAACAGGATGCTGGACTAGAAGGGCCATTGGCCTGATCCAGCAGGCTTTTCTTATGTTCTTAACACTCTGCTCTCACAGTGGCCAGCTGAATGCCCCCGGAGAACCAATAATTAGGACCTGAGGGCTGTGGCAAACCTTGGGGTGTCAAAATTCAGCAGTGCCCTGTGCGACACCAAAATTCAATGCCCCCTGCCTCTCACACGCCATTCTAAGTCATAGTTATGGTGTCCCCAGTGGTGCTTCCAAGGGTCCATGCCAAATGTGACTGAACCGGTTGTGCTCCCCTAAATACACCTCTGCTGAAGGCAACACCACCTCTTCCTGCTTGTGATTCCCTCCAAGTTTCCCTATTTTCCAGGGACATCCCTGGAAAAGCCATCTGGGTTTCTGATTTGATCTTGGAATAGCCAGCTTTTCCTTTGGACATCCCTATTTTCAATGGAGAAAAGTTGGATGGTGTGGAATAGGAAGTTCCTATTTTCATCGGAGAAGTGTTGGAGGCTATGAGCAACTGGCATTCAGAAGCAGTAACTGCCTCTGATAGTGGAAATAAAACACAGCTATAATGACTTTTACCTTCCATGAATTTGTATGATCCTCTTTAAAATCCACCCAAGTACTGTATGGGGTCATCTCTTATGGGAGCAAATTCCAAGGTTTAGCTATGGTGCCATGGCTGCAGGCCATGAATATATGCCTTGGGCACTTGTCTAATTTGCCCTTAAAGATATCTAAGCCTCTAGCCCTCACTATTACCTGATTTATTTAATTGGAAATATTTTGAGGCCATTTTTACAGGCAATGTCCACCCGTACAGTAATACAGCAACACAACTCAACACAACACAGATGCCTCTAGGAAGCCCACAAACAGGAGATGAGGATAGGGATGGGGAGAAATTCAAATCAGTTTGTATTTAAATGTGAACCTATCTAATGCACACTTTCTGACAAAATTTGCAAACCAAAACATAGCCATCTTTTGAAATTTGCACTACTCTGAATTTTGCAGAGCAGTTCTTTAGCTGAGTAATTTGTGCACAAATGCATATACTATGGGAAAGTGTGCCTATATTAGTGAAATGAGGGTGCAAATATGCATTAGGGGAAATTGCTCTGATTCCCCCTCCAGCATGTTTAGCAAATGTGCATACACAAATACATATATCAGGAGAAATGTGTGCTACAATGCTGGTGAGTTTTCTTCCTAGGATTCTCTTTTTCATATGTGGAAATGTGGATAACTGAAGTCCAGAAAAATATTTTTTTAAAAAACAAAAAGAACCTGAGAGAAACTGAATTTGACAGAGTCACCCATTGTTAGCTGGGAGTAAACCCTTTTGTACAACTAAACAGACACTCATGCGATTGGACTCCAAGAGTGATATTAGCAAGTGGAACATCAAAGGTGTTTAACATAGGGCATCAGCGATGGGGCAGAGGGCACAGGTGTCTCTTGGCTGAGAGCGGAAATAGTTGCAGTCAGAAAGCCAGTCATCTCCTGCGCTCCAGATCTGTGTTTTTCTAAAGCCATTCACTGTGGAAAGATGCTTGTCTTACAACCGCTCCCTTCTCTGCCGGTGGAATGCGCAGCTCTCGCTGGGGTATGCCACTGTCTTTGATGAGGGATAAATGTGCATTCCCTCTGCCCAGCGCAGATCCCGCCAGCAGCCGCTCTTTGAAGTTCTCATCTGTATGCATTAGAGCTGGGAGTCAAGCCAGTGTGTGCTCCGCTCCAGCCCACGGTGTGTCACAGTGGCAGCACCTAGAAAGCCTATGAATATTTATCGGTAGGAAAAAGGCATCCATGTGTATTTGTTCAATCTCTCTCCCCGCTCTTCCTTTCCTCCCTTCAATCACAAACCTGGGGTTTTTTTTTATTTCGAGAGGGAGAGAGAAGGCAATGTACCAGATACCGCAGACAACCTCCAATACATAACCAAAGGCTGCATTTATTTTCCTATTTCTCTCCCCCCCCATACATCTTCATTTTGCATTTGTGTTTTTGGGGAGACTGAGCACCAGCAGGGATGCTTGTGCACTTGTGGGTCTGCTTAGGGCTGCATGAGGTTGTTCCTGGTTGGGATGAATTTGTCCAACCATGCTGACCATCAGAAGATGCTACCCAAGATCAGGCGAGGAGGCATACAGTCTCCATCCTCCTGTTTCTCATTTCTTAATCTCAGAGGAACATGGGAAGCTGAGCTATGGTCCTTCCACCAGTCATACTCAAAAGATTGTTGGAAATAATGAGCATTAAAAGCAGGTCAAGAAAGCCTTGTGATTGCCTCTCTGTCCCCTTGGCTTTATCCTGGGGTGCCATTCAGGAAAGGCATACATCTTTCTTTCATTTTTGATGCCCTCTCTTCCAGGCCTTTGCTGGGGGGTGAGGTGAAGCCAGCTACAATTTGTTAAGTAGGGATAGAGAACTCTGAGAACTGTAAGTCCAGGAGAAGATATGTGGGGGTCTCAGCATCCTTATCAAATTACAATGTGACATGGGTGGCACTGTGGACCAAACCACTGAGCCTCTTGAGCTTGCTGATTGGAAGGTCAGTGGTTCGAACCCGCTTGACAGGGTAAGCTCCCTTTGCTCTGTCTCAGCTCCTGCCAACCTAGCAGTTCGAAAGCACACCAGTGCAAGTAGATAAATAGGTACCACTGTGGTGGGAAGGTAAACAGTGTTCCCGTGTGCTCTGGTTTCCGTCACGGTGTTTCGTTGCACCAGAAGTGGTTTCGTCATGCTGGCCACATGACCCGGAAAGCTGTCTGTGGACAAACGCCGGCTCCCTCGGCCTGAAAGCGAGATGAGCGCCGCAACCCCATAGTTGCCTTTGACTGGACTTAACCATCCAGGGCTCCTTTACCTTTACCTTTTTTTAATAACAGCTCCTCCCACAATACCTGGTAAAATGCGGTCTTGACTATGCTACCACTCAGTGGATTTGTAACTGGCTGACTGACCGAACCCAAAGGGTGCTCATCAATGGTTCCTCTTCATCCTGGAGAAGAGTGACTAGTGGGGTGCCACAGGGTTCTGTCTTGGGCCCGGTCTTATTCAACATCTTTATCAACAACTTGGATGATGGACTCAAGGGCATCCTGATTAAATTTGCAGATGACACCAAACTGGGAGGGGTGGCTAGCACCCCAGAGGACAGGATCACACTTCAAAACGACCTTGACAGATTAGAGAACTGGGCCAAAACAAACAAGATGAATTTTAACAGGAGAAATGTAAAGTATTGCACTTGGGCAAAAAAATGAGAGGCACAAATACAAGATGGGTGACACCTGGCTTGAGAGCAGTACATGTGAAAAGGATCTAGGAGTCTTGGTTGACCACAAACTTGACATGAGCCAACAGTGTGACGCGGCAGCTAAAAAGCCAATGCAATTCTGGGCCTGCATCAATAGGAGTATAGCATCTAGATCAAGGGAAGTAATAGTGCCACTGTATTCTGCTCTGGTCAGACCTCACCTGGAGTACTGTGTCCAGTTCTGGGCACCACAGTTCAAGAAGGACACTGACAAACTGGAACGTGTCCGGAGGAGGGCAACCAAAATGGTCAAAGGCCTGGAAACGATGCCTTATGGCTAAGGGAGCTGGGCATGTTTAGCCTGGAGAAGAGGAGGTTAAGGGGTGATATGATAGCCATGTTCAAATATATAAAAGGATGTCACATAGAGGAGGGAGAAAGGTTGTTTTCTGCTGCTCCAGAGAAGCAGACACGGAGCAATGGATCCAAACTACAAGAAAGAAGATTCCACCTAAACATTAGGAAGAACTTCCTGACAGTAAGAGCTGTTCGACAGTGGAATTTGCTGCCAAAGAGTGTGGTGGAGTCTCCTTCTTTGGAGGTCTTTAAGCAGAGGCTTGACAACCATATGTCAGGAGTGCTCTGATGGTGTTTCCTGCTTGGCAGGGGGTTGGACTCAATGGCCCTTGTGGTCTCTTCCAACTCTATGATTCTATGATTCTATGAATACCTCCTCATATTTATATCCCAGCTCTATCACTGAAATTTGTTCTCACTTTCCCTGAAGTTACAGAGGCCCAACTGGCTTCAGTTAGAAGTTGGGCATTTAGTGTCAATGGTCACATGTTGTGGAAGATTCTTCCAGCAGAGATTTGGCAGGCATCCTTGCTTTCGACTTCCAGGCATCTCTTGAATATATTTTTATGTCAACAGTCCTTTGCAGCTATATAGACTTTCTTGTTCGCCAGTCATTCTAATGGTTATTTTCTTTTGCAATTACAATGAGTTATGTTGCATGGCACACTGCCTCAATATTTTATATGTGTTGATGGTATATGATTGTTTAAATAAATAAAATAAAATACATATCCAAAGATACTGCTTCTGCTTTTTTTAAAAAAAAAAATATCAGCTCAACTTCCCTTTATTTTTGGTTCTTTTCATTAGCGGACACGGGGAACCTTTATACCATGGATCATTAGTGTGACAGCTGAATAATGGTGGGGCTCCTCTTCTGAAGGTGGGAATGTGATGACATTTATTTTCCCATCACAAGGGGAATCAAAGAGAGATGCTTGCATGAGTCAGGCAATATTGTCAAAATTATCCCAGAGAAAAGGAAATCATTAACTGAAATCATTAACTGAGTAATAGTTCTCCTAAACCTTGTTTTTACTCTTCCACTCCCCTCATCAATACAATGACTGCATACCCAACTTCCTGGCCAGAAATTACCCATATCTGTTTGCATGTGTGTCTGTCAATTTCTGTATCTCTGTTTCTTATCTGTCAAGTCTTAAATTCAGTTGTCCACGTTTCCAAAGCAATTGGCAATATAATCCTCCTGAAAACCCATCAGCATTATACTGTAAATTTACCCCGATACACATATTTTTGCATGTGGCTATGACTAATATATATGTTTTTTGCAAGCAATTTCCCCGCATATAATGCATAGTTTCCATGTTATTTACATTAATCTGTGCATTTGTAGACACACTTTGCTGTGACGTGCATTTGGTTGGGAGAACAGCAATACCACATTTTGAGAAGTGTGAGTTTCAGAGGATAGCTGTGCTTCGGTCAGCATATTGGTTTGAAAAGTGTGAATTAGGTAGTTCCTTATTAAAATGCAAGCAGGATTGAACTTATTCCCCATCTCTCCTGTGCAGGCATACACCAGCTAAATGCTGGTCAAATCTGATGAGCAGCCGAGAGGGAAGGATGGAGTTATAATTATACTTCCAGCTTTCTGAGACCACACTGTCTTTTCTACCCAATTTGCCTATCACTGAGAGGAGTAGTACGACTCATGCAACATGTTGGTGAGTAATATACATACAATAATTACCAATATAATTATACATTCTTTGTCAATCTTCTGAGAAAAATACAAAACCTTGTGTAAAGCCACAGAGACTTATAAGCTACCCAACTTAAGATGAACGTATGTCTGGTTTCAATGGATTTTTCAAATGCTTAACTCAGTCTTTTGTTTTCTTTATCTTTTTAGGGAAGTTCATGAAGATACCCACAAAGGGTAAGTTTGGTGTTGTTCACAATACTGAGAGATGCTAGTGAGGTTGTAGATGGATGTTAATGAAATTAACAGGGGGCCAGCATTCTGCACCTGTTTCTCCCTGGCAGTCCAAGTAGGGCTGTTGTTTGCCCCCGGTGGGGCCCTTTTACTGGTGCTTGCAGGTAGCACACTCCCAAGGTAGCTTTCCAGGCTTCTTCAGTGGTCTAATCTCAAAGCCTTGATATGTATATTGACATGCAATTTCATAAAGAATACTATTTCTTGGCTTAAGCTTAAGAGACTGATTTGCTAATAGTATTCTTTATGAAATGTCTGTGACCGTAGTAATAAAATTCATTCATTCAAGGTTTTGTATTTTTCTCAGAAGATTGATAAAGAATGGATAATTATTTTGGTAATTATTGTATGTATAATGCTGTGGGTTAAACCACAGAGCCTAGGACTTGCCTATCAGAAGGTCGGTGGTTCAAATCCCTGCGACGGGGTGAACTCCCATTGCTCGGTCCCTGCTCCTGCCCACCTAGCAGTTTGAAAGCATGTCAAAGTGCAAGTAGATAAATAGGTACTGCTCTGGCGGGAAGGTAAACGGCGTTTCCGTGCGCTGCTCTGGTTCGCCAGAAGCGGCTTAGTCATGCTGGCCACATGACCCTGAAGCTGTACGCCAGCTCCCTCAGCCAATAAAGCGAGATGAGCGCCACAACCCCAGAGTCGGCCACGACTGGACCTAATGGTCAGGAGTCCCTTTACCTTTACCTTTAATGCATATTAGTCACCAAAATGTTGCATGAGTCGTACTACTTCTATCAGCAGCAAAGGCTGGATTTTTCTATCATTGAGAAGAGGCAGGACTGTCTATCCAAATCTGGCCACGCTCCCCATTATCTGAAACCAAGCATGCCTTCCAGGCCCTAAATGGGGGGGGGGGAATTAGGAACCCCCTTTCTCTGCTGATAGAGAGCAACAATTTCATCTGCAGAAAGAGGATCTAGGATTTTGTGGGGAGAAAGAAGCAGAAGAAAATCCCTGCTGGATCAGACCAAAGACCCATCTATTATTCTCAGGTGCCCTGAGAATGAAGCAGAAAAATGGAAGCCTCTTGCAGAAGAAGAAAACTTTTCGGAAACCAGAGGACAGATTTCAGGGCAGCCGTCCTTGGTATTCATTATTGCAAGGATGTGTATAGATGCTAGTAGGGGATATGTTTATTAGATATTATCCTTCCCTCAGGTTAGTTTAAATAATCCAGGATGCTTTAAAGCAGACTAGATTTTCCTGGTATTTTCCCATTTTAAAACAATAATCACATAGTCTTGTAAAAGGTAAAAATAACATCTACTCACTCAGTTTCTGTTGCAGGATAACAGATACAGTAGCTTTGTTCAGGCAGGCTTAAAATGGCAATACAGTGGTACCTCGGGTTAAGAACTTAATTTGTTTTTGAGGTCCGTTCTTAACCTGAAACTGTTCTTAACCTGAGGTACCACTTTAGCTAATGGGGCCTCCTGCTGCTGCCGGGCCACCACTGCGCGATTTCTGTTCTCATCCTGAAGCAAAGTTCTTAACCCGAGGTACTATTTCTGGGTTAGCAGAGTCTGTAACCTGAAGCATATGTAACCTGAAGCTTCTGTAACCCGAGGTACAACTGTACACTTACAAAGACATAATATAGTCTGGCTTAAGATGCAGTCTGAGTTGTAGCTCAGATTTATCAGTTGTTCTCACATTTCTGGTTTGGAGATGAGAGGAAGAGGAAGAGGAAGAGGAAGAGGGGAAGCAATAAGAGGATGTGCCCAGGCAGTTAAGGAGTGCAAAAATATATATGCCCTCCCCCTGTCAGGGAACAGTGAGAGTTTCTCTCACAGAGTTCTCTCTAGCAAACTTACAGGAAAAATTTCTGAGCTTCTGTTCCTATCATGTACCTATCTAGCAAACAACGAATTGTTGGTTTGACTGCCCTTTGAATACCCCACAATTATTTATTAAAATATTTGAACCCACATTAAAAAAGTCCCCTAACTAACCATGAGCTGGAAATCAACGCTACAAAATTAAAACTATGTTACTAACAAAATCACCATTATAGCAGAGTAGCCAAAGCCTGATCAGTAGAGTTTGAGATCAACAATGCAATTACTGCCAGGCAATCCTTTCCCCGAAAGGTCCAGAGAGCATCCATATTTTATTTGCATTGTTTGGCAGAAGATCGCTAATGATGCATCCAAGCACAATAACTGAGGAAGTGTTGTCCTCTGTGCCCCCATCCCTTGCCTAGATGGGCTGGAAACATAGTGGAAGGACCCTGATGTTCATCTAACCATTAGAAGATATTGTGGGCTGAGAAAGACACCTCTGTGCCCAAGCTGGGTAGAACAATCGCCTGACTCGGCTTACAACGCTGCCTTAAAGTACTTTGGGGAGAAGGAGGAATGTATTTCCTATCTCTGTTTGTTCCAAAAGGAAGGAGTTCATTGGTATTCCTCAGGTTATACGCTCTGGCATTTCTCATAGAACAGCAGACAGCTGTGTCTGGCTGTAGAGGCAGAGCAGATGCTGGACGCCAGTTGTCAGACCTTGGCAGTGTGTTTTAATTGCCCCTTTGAAAAAGATGAGTTCGGAAATTCAACGAAAAGAACTCGCTGTGTGGGCTGCAGCAGTTTTTGAACTGGCCATCCTGCCAGTGAGGTGGGCATGTAGAAGAAGAAGAAGAAGAAGAAGAAGAAGAAGAAGAAGAAGAAGAAGAAGAAGAAGCTGTACCTCCAGCACTGCCCTGCAAGTTATTATTTTAAGAAAGGAAAGCGATTAAGAGGAGAGGCAGGAGAAAGATGAGGAGCATTGCACAACTTAATTCCAGGATCCAAGATGTACCTGCAACTTTCACGAGGCAGCTGTGAAGTTTTTACAAGCCTTAAGATCTTTACTGGAGGAGCGACAGTGCAATGAGCCCTGACACTTTTGTCAAACAACAGAAGTGCATCTGCAGGTTTAATAAGCAGGAGTGTATCTGACCGCCTGCTGTTCTCAGCCAATTTGTCGTTGACAGTGTTCCCATGCCTGACAAGTAAAGAGTACCGAGAAGAGGGGAACAACAGCAGGATGCATGAACTTAAGCAATGCCTTCCTTGATCTGGTATCTGTACCCATCTGAACAACACAGATACGACTCCAGATCATATACTAACCGGACTTGTGAATCCTCTCTGTTTAATCAAGGAGTGGATGAGTGCTCCCCCAAATATGGCTATGTTCTCCCACTGTTGGAGATCATTTGCCTTCATTTGCTGGGAACTGTTAGTGAGGAAGAGTGTGGTTGTACACAGAGTTTGCTCGCAGGCTTCTTGTGGACTTCTGGTTGGCTAATGTGAGAACAGGATGTTGTAGTAAATGGGCCTTTGACAGGAACCATCTGCAGGGCTCTTCCTAGGTTCTTAGCGCAAGATTCCTGAGATGAATAACATAGGATGCAGCAGATGCTCAATTAGATGCACTTTGGGACTCATCCAGCAGGCTCTTATTAAGGTTTGTATGAGGACTCCACACGTCAGAATACCGAAGTCCAAGGCAGACTTGTGTAAGTTCCATTGTCCCTCCTGGTTTTTATGGTGGACATATCCTATGATTGGATTCAATCCCCAACAGTCAATTACTAATTTAATCCCCACTTTACATTAAAGGGTATATAGGGAATGCAAAGGTGAGGCTAACTTCCTTGTTCCACCATCCACTGTATAGCAGAAACTATTGCAGAAACTATTGTGGGGTGGCCTAGAGATTCCCCCATGAAAATCCCTCAGGCACAGAGAGTTGATGTGTGTCTGGAAAGAGCGAGACAAAAGGTAGATAAGCCCTTACTTGTTAAAACCCACACTGGGACCTTAGGCTAAAAAGGTGGGTATTCATTCCAGGAAGTTTTTAGTGTTTGATGTTGTATTGTGTTTTTACTATGTTTTGTTGGGAGTAACCCCGAGTAGCTGGGGCAACCCAGTCAGATGGGTTTCATATACATCATCATCATTGCAAACTACCAGGTCCTTGAAATAATTATATTGTGAATACATAGACTGAACATCTAGGTAGATTAGATAACCTGCTATCATTTCATCCCTCCATTATCTTATGAAATAGCTCACTAGGGCTAAGAAATATCATATTAAATTCTTTATGATTGGGCAGATTATGACAAAGTATTACAAGGCTCTAAAAGTGCAGCTTCCATTACAATTCGCCATTGCATTTAAATTGCACAAGAGGGACCCACAGCAAAATGTTACAGCATAACTTCCTCCTTAACAGGAGTGCTTCAGTTCAGGGATCCTGCCAGTTCTCCTGCAACTGAGCAGCTCAGTTCAGTAGGCACCCTGCACATTTTGTAGAAGCACGTGATTGCATGCAGAATGCGGCAGCTACACTGGTGACTGGGGGCAGCCGCCGAGAAGACATAACACCAGTCTTGAAAGACCTACACTGGCTCCCAGTACGTTTTTGAGCACAATTCAAAGTGTTGGTGTTGACCTTTAGAGCCCTAAACAGCCTCAGCCCAGTATACCTGAAGGAGCATCTCCACCCCCATCATTCTGCCCGGACACTGAAGTCCAGCGCCAAGGGCCTTCTGGCGGTTCCCTCACTGCGAGAAGCAAAGCTACAGGGAACCAGGCAGAGGGCCTTCTTGGTAGTGGCACCCTCCCTGTGGAACACCCTCCATCAGATGTCAAAGAGATAAACAACTGCCTGACACTTAGAAGACATCTGAAGGCAGCCCTGTTCAGGGAAGTTTCTAATGTGAGACATTTTAATGTATTTTTAATCTTTGTTGGAAGCCGCCCAGAGTGGCTGGGGAAACCCAGCCAGATGGGCGGGGTACAAATAATAAATTATTATTATTATTTGCACAGTTGCTGAAAGGAAACTTTTTGCATGAGCAGGCTGCCCTTCACTGAAAAGGAATGCATGCATAATTTTATTTGTATGCCACATAGAAGTGAGAGCTGGACCATAAAGAAGGCTGATTGCTAAAGAATTGATGCTTTTGAATTATGGTGCTGGAGGAGACTCTTGAGAGTCCCATGGACTGCAAGAAGATCAAACCTATCCATTCTGGAGGAAATCAGCCCTGAGGGCTCACTGGAAGGACAGGTCCTGAAGCTGAGACTCCAATACTTTGGCCACCTCACGAGAAGAGAAGACTCCCTGGAAAAGACCCTGATGCTGGGAAAGATTGAGGGCACAAGGAGAAGGGGACAGCAGAGGACGAGATGGTGGGACAGTGTTTGCGAAGCTACCAGCATGAGTTTGACCAATGCAGGAGGCAGTGGAAGACAGGAGTGCCTGGCATGCTCTGGTCCATGGGGTCACAAAGAGTCGGACACGACTAAATGACTAAACAACAACAACATGCCGCTTTTCCACTGTTTGAGCCATGATCAAGGCAGTTTACGCCATGAAAAGGAATACTTAACTGCAACAAAGCAAAAGAAGAATAAATAAATAAAGAAAACAGTAAGAAATGCAAAACCAATCTGAGCCATTTCCACATAAATTGCAACAAAATCTAAAGATACAAAAAACAGCAACAACAGCAACCATTCCCACCCAGCAACAAAAAACCCAAACAACACCCCAACCCAAAAGTCTTCTCAACAGCCTCAGCTTTTGTAGCTGGAGTCAGTCAGGGCACCATTTTCCCAGGCCAGGTGGGAAAAGACCTGCAGGGTAGGGAGCAAGTCTTCAAGGACTCACAGCCAAGCTGGTAGCACTTTAAAGGTAAAGGGACTCCTGACCATTAGGTCCAGTCGTGGACGACTCTGGGGTTGCGGCACTCATCTCGCTTCTGGGTCATGTGGCCAGCATGAGTAAACCGCTTCTGGCGAACCAGAGCAGCACACGGAAACGCCGTTTACCTTCCCGACGGAGTGGTACCTATTTATCTACTTGCACTTCGATGTGCTTTCAAACTGCTAGGTTGGCAGGAGCAGGGACCGAGCTACGGGAGCTCACCCCATCGCAGGGATTCGAACTGCCGACCTTCCAATCGGCAAGCTCTAGGCTCTGTGGTTTAGACCACGGCGCCAGAGACCAACTAAGTTTTTTATTGGTATGAGCTTTCTTGTGCATGCACACTTCTTCAGATTCTTTTTATTTTGTTTCAACTACGGCAGACCAACATGGCTACCTACCTGTCATAGCTGTCAATGTTTTCCCTTTTTTAAGGGAAATTCCCTTATTCCAAATAGGATTCCTCACAAGAAAAGGGAAAAGTTGACAGCTATTACCTGTAGCCAAGCTGGTGTCTGGCCTCTTCAGCAGCCTCAGCTGGTTTTAAAAACATGTTGTGATCGGTGCTATTTTTCTCGAAAAAGAGGTGCCAGAACTCACCAGGAACACCTCCCTCATTCTGTTAGAATGGCAATGATGCCCAGCTGAGAGGTGGCAGAACGGAGTTCCTGTGTGTCCCGCCCCCCCTTTTTTTAAAAAAAGCCCTGGTTTGTGATGTACATTAATTATTGCTTTGGATTATTGTTCTTCATTTTACCGTTAATGTTTCAAAACATTATAAGCAGCCTTGAATACCAACTTGGGAGAAAGGCGGGATACAAATACATTAAGTATATAAATAGACCATTTTAAGATTTCTTTTAAGCTGCTTAAAAAGAGGTTTTGCCACAATCAAACGCTATATAAATTTTGTTGAATGAATGAATTAGTAGCGGAAGTGTGTGTGAGAGAGGAGTTTTGTGTGCATACATGCAGTGCTTTGTTTTCAGGGGGTACTCAAGGGTACTCAGCACAGGTGCCTCTTTTTCGTTGTTAAAAAGTGTGGCACTTGCTGCAACAACTTAATGGTGAGTTCCAGCACCTCATATATATATATATGTAATGCACTGTATGCATGTTTGCTTTTTTAAACAACAGCAACTGAGCCTTTAACATGGTGGTTCTCAAAGGGGTGGGGTATGATACCCTGATGTTGCAGAAGAGGATGACAAGTGTGGCAGGAAGATTTAAGGACAATCAAACATTTAAAAATTTCAGTATAGTATAGTATAGTATAGTATAGTATAGTATAGTATAGTATAGTATAGTATAGTATAGTATAGTATAGTATAGTATAGTATAGTATAGTATAATTTGTTTGGATATATAACCAGAAACCATATCCACGCCTCTCTTCAAGCGCACTGGCTATTCTTCTACAGTTCCCCATGACTTATTGTTATGAACAAGGATTTTCAACTCTGACTGATATGAAAGATCAGAAAAGAGAAAGGCATGTTTGTGCTGATGAGACGAGAGTTCGTTTGTCTCAAATTAGACCTAACAGAAGTGAGATTACCTGGCAAAAGGAAGCTCACACCTCTCACTGACTTCATATACATACTTAATTTGGGAATGTGTTCTTATGTGGCTGCATCGTTTTATACTTTCTGGATGTCCCGTGATCATATTATAAAGTAGTTGTGTTCTATGTTACAAATCAAGCACTGCTAGGAGCTGTTTCTTTTTGTTTTCCAAAGTATTTCTTATCAATAAAAAAAAATGGTGTGGCATGAGCGATTGTTTATTCCAGAAATGCGGTGCAGAGAAATTTCTTTGCGAACCGCTGCTTTAACTTCTCAAACCTGCAAAGAAAACCTGAATGATATTTGTTCCGATTCAGCAGGAAACAGCTATTTCCCTCCCCCCAGAAAAAGCAGCAAAGACAAAATTAAAACTTATTGGACCCAAGTCTAGAAATCATGGGGCAAATGAAACTATCGGTGGGCCCTAAGGCAGGGTTGGGGGGTATTTTTTTCATCTCAGAAGCTGCATTCTTTGTTCAGCAACCTTGCGGTTACAACAACTTATCTGACTTTGATAAGTGGGTGGGAGGACTCAGCTGCTTTGTGCCATACTAATTAAATGCAATCATGCCTGGAAATCAAAGGTATCCTGTAGCAGAGCAAACCCTGAAGATTTTAAGTTCCTGCTCACTTTTAGTACTAAAATATAGCAGTGAAAGATGGAGGTCACGTGGCGACGCTGCCGCATTTTGCCAGGAAATGAATCACGACGAGCGAGAGAAAATGAATCAAAGGGAAGAGGGTGAATTCAAAACTATGCATTCTCCCAAAGGGCTGAAAATGAGAACGTTTCTCTTGAACCAAAAATGTTTTCTTCACTTTTATTCTGAATGCATCTCTCATTGATACAAAATTTGTTGCAAAGTCCTCGGCAGCAAATGCACACCTAGCACATGTGGTGTGGTTGTCGATATGCCTAGGATTTTTGGATTTTTATTTTCCAACAGATCACTTTAATGATTGAGGCAGACCTCATACTCTCTCTGATGCTGGCAATATTTAATTTGATGGTGGGTGACATGGTTGTTGAACGGAAGAAAAAATCTTGTTAATTGCAGCCGGGTGTCAGACAATGGAAATACATCTCACCTGCCCCCAAGGTTCCACCTATATGGGATTGGATTTTGAAGGGTCTTGAAATAGTTGAAATTGATAAGGTGGCCAATTTGGCTTATAAAATGAAAGGTATCTGCTTTTGATACAAAATTGGTTGCGAAGTAAATCATCATAATAGAAATTTGGGGGTTATCAGGTTTGAAAGACTATTTTTTTTTTTTTGTAAATGATCATTTATGTAAAGTGGGAACTGTGTAGATTGACATATTGCCCCCCAAAAAAGTGGTTTCCACCAAATTGTGCAGGCAATTTTGAGTACATTTTTTCACAATTGTTAATAATGTCTGCTTGTAACTTTTTATGGTTTTATTGCATGATTTTATGCATTTTTGTCATAAACCACTTAGATTTTTTTAATGAAATAGCAGTCTATAAATATTTGTATGAATAAAAATTATGTGTGTGTGTGTTCATGTACGTGCCTCTAACCTAATAATGCCTCAGGGTAGCTATCAATTAAGTTATTAATTTCCCTTACCTGCCCACACTGAAGGCCAGAAATATCAAATTAACACATACATACATCCCAAAGAAGGGATCGCTCAGCTGGTAGAGCATGAGACTCTTAATCTCATGCTTGGACTAGATGACCCTGAGAGTCCCTCCCAACTCCACAATTCTATGATTCTATGATCAAACAAATAACTCTACAGTGTGGAGAAGGCTGGGGGGACAGTGCCAATCAGAGGCTCCCTGCAAAAAAATCTGCTTTGCCCAAGCTACCAGTTGACCTAATTAGTGTTACAAAGTTGTGTGCCTCCCACACTCTCGGCCAAGTGGTAGCAAGAGCCCATGGGGTCCCAAATGCCCACCCAGGGTCTGTTTCCCTTTGGAGAATGGAAGTCATGGCTTTAAGAAATATGGTTTATTCACGTATCTACATCTTCAGTTGGCAAGGAGGGAGTCCGGACCTTCCAGCATGGCCATTTCAAGACGCAACAGCTCAGGCTGTCTGCAGCCAGCCACCTCCAAAGATGGATCTCAGCTCCTCTTCCTGCTTCTCCTTCTGAGCAACCCTTGCTTGAAAATTCCCTTTTCCTGTCCCTTCAAACACCCCACCCCCTATTACCTTGGTAACATCTCACTCAAGAGCTAAAGGATGCTCTCAGATAGCCCATCAACATATTTTGTCATGTTAATAGGTTTGCTCTACACACTAAGCCAGCCAGGCTGGTTTGCATATGCCAACCCAGGAATTCCCTGTCTGGCATAGCTCTGAAGCTTGCACTTTAATCCATATCCCTATTCGAGGGTTGCCATGTGTCCTCTTTTTCCAGGGCATGTCCTCTTTTTCATGAGTATGTAAAATGAGAGTCGTCATAGCAACCCATAGTTAAAAATAGGAGTCGGGAAATGCACCCTCCTTTGCTCTTCAAAATATGGCAGCCCTATTTGGAACCCTGGCATTTACAGTGGTACCTCGGGTTACATATGCTTCAGGTTACATACGCTTCAGGTTACAGACTCTGCTAACCCAGAAATAGTATCTCGGGTTAAGAACTTTGCTTCAGGATGAGAACAGAAATCGTGCTCTGGCGGCACGGCGGCAGCAGGAGGCCCCATTAGCTAAAGTGGTGCTTCAGGTTAAGAACAGTTTCAGGTTAAGAACGGACCTCTGAAACGAATTAAGTACTTAACCTGAGGTACCACTGTATTAATTTCTAGATTTATCCTGAATCTATGACACCAGTGTACTGAATGCCCCTTCCCAATGGGCACTCGTAGCCTAGGGTTACCAGACATCCCCAGTTCCCGGGGACAGTCCCTGGATTTGCAAATCTGTCTCCAGACAAATTCTGTCCCCGGAATGTCCCAAGATTTGCAAATCTGTTCCCAGGAAATGTGGCAGTGGCAGCCTCAGGAGCCCGGAGCCAGCCTGGTAGTGCAGTTGGCTCTGGCTGGCTTCAGGAGCTGCTCGCTTCCATGACGCCCGCCATTTTTTCCTCGCTTGGAAGTCCCCATATGATGTGTCTTGTGTGCAACACATCATATAGAGACTTCTGGAGAGGAAAAATGACGGGTGCCACGGCAGCGAGGAGCTCCTGAAGCCAGCCGGAGCCAACTGCGCTACCAGGCTGGCTCCAGGCTGCTGACTGCCGCTGCTGCCGCCACTGCTGAAGGGGAACCAGGGATATCTGGTGGTACAGATATCCTGCCCCCCCCCTTTGTTTTGACTAATTGGGGCAGGCTCGGGATTTGTGGGCAGGCAGCCGTTGCCAAGTTTTTTAAAAACTCTGCACATTTGTGTTTCATAGGGTGCAAAAGAAGGGCTTTGCACCTTTATACAATATGCATGTGTGCTTGGGCCCAGGGTCTTTTGCCTCGCCATCCCCACTACTGACTCCCTGTTGCTACTCAGCTTCAAATACCAAAACAAACAAAAAACCCAACAGTGTCCCCGGATTCATTGGAAAAAAATCTGGTAACCATATCCTGGCCATGTGATCCCCAGACCTCCTCATCTTAGGAAAGACCAAAGTGAGTTTTCTCCAAAAGGGGGGGGGGTTGAGGTAATTTCTCCCCTGCTAAAGAGCAGAAGTGTTGTTGTTGTTTAGTCATTTAGTTGTGTCCGACTCTGCGTGACCCCATGGACCAGAGCACGCCAGGCACTCCTGTCTTCCACTGCCTCCCGCAGTTTGGTCAAACTCGTGCTGGTAGCTTCGAGAACACTATCCACCCATCTCGTCCTCTGTCATTCCCTTCTCCCTGTGCCCTCCATCTTTCCCAACATCAGGGTCTTTTCCAGGGAGTCTTCTCTTCTCATGAGGTGGCCAAAGTATTGGAGCCTCAGCTTCACGATCTGGATCTGTCCTTCCAGTGAGCACTCAGGGCTGATTTCCTTCAGAATGGAGAGGTTTGATCTTCTTGCAGTCCATGGGACTCTCAAGAGTCTCCTCCAGCACCATAATTCAAAAGCATCAATTCTTCGGTGATCAGCCTTCTTTATGGTCCAGCTCTCACTTCCATACATCACTACTGGGAAAACCATAGCTTTTACTATACGGACCTTTGTTGGCAAGGTGATGTCTCTACTTTTTAAAATACTGTCTAAGATGCTGTCTTTAAGATGCTGTCTTTTTTTTTTTAGACAGCATCTTAAAGAGCAGAAGTACCTGATGATATAACTTTCTGACCCCTTTGTTGTCGCTCTTCTCACTCATCTCATCTGCATGGACAGATAATAGTATATGAGACTCAGTTCAAACGCCACTACAAATGAACTGCTTCGACACACATGGATTAAGCTCAGATGACACACTTTCTTCCCCCAATTAAAAGTGTGTCATGGGCCCATCCTACATTTCAAGGTTCCTTAAAGGCAACCGGCTTCATAGTATGTTTATGATCACAGTCAGTTTAGGACAAATCAATAGATCTAAATCAGTTAGTAATTACAGTAGGGAATAATATATACACAGATGCCCGTGCAGTATTGCAGATTGCATTGGGAGATTGCAGACATGTTCTTTCACTGTGAGGAAGAGAAAGAAAGATGCTGTTTCTAACAGAGAAAGCGAGGAGAGTGATGTGAGATACCACAGCTTAGATGAAAGGCTGATCTTTCCTTTTATTAACTGAATGCCACGAATGCATTTGAAAGTGGCTTTGCTGGCAACCAGCTAATGCATTAAAAGAAACCTTATTAATGATAATAAGTACTGAGAAAAACAGGATGATGACATGGAAGATTAGGAAAAGAACATAAAGCATCCTCAATGACAGGCAATTGCTTCATCAAATATTTGAGTGCGCAGTTTGAGCCCTACATGCAAATTTCGGTATTTATCTATTTGTGGCATTTATATTCCAGCCTTTTTCTCCAAGGAGCTCAAGGTGCCGCACATGATTCCCCCCCTTCATTTAATCCCCACAACGACCCTGTGAGGTAGGTTAGGCTCAGAGGCTGTGACTCACTCAGCTTCATGACCAAGTGGGGATTTGAACTCTGGTTTCCTACATTCTAGTCTGACAAAGTAGAGACATCACCTTGCCAACAAAGGTCTGCATAGTAAAAGCTATGGTTTTCCCAGTAGTGATGTATGGAAGTGAAATCTGGACCATAAAGAAGGCTGATCGCCGAAGAATGGATGCTTTTGAATTCTGGTGCTGGAGGAGACTCTGGAGAGTCCCATGGACTGCAAGAAGATCAAACCTCTCCATTCTGAAGGAAATCAGCCCTGAGGGCTCACTGGAAGGACAGATCCTGAAGCTGAGGCTCCAATACTTTGGCCACCTCATGAGAAGAGAAGATTCCCTGAAAAAGACCCTGATGTTGGGAAAGATGGAGGGCACAAGGAGAAGGGGACGACAGAGGATGAGATGGTTGGACAGTGTTCTCGAAGCTACCAGCATGAGTTTGACCAAACTGCGGGAGGCAGTGGAAGACAGAAGTGCCTGGCGTGCTCTGGTCCATGGGGTCACGAAGAGTCGGGCACGACTAAACAACTAAACAACAACAACATCAATTCTGACACTCTAACCACCACACCACACAGGCTTTTGAGACAACATTTCCCAATGCTCAAGGTAATATTGTGCTTTGTCGTAAGCAATGGCAGAACATTTCAGATCTAGGAAGGAAAGTGGTGGGAACTCTCAGGTCTTCCGGTATGGTAGTATTTGGAGAGCCTGGGATTAAACCAACACAGGTTCAAGCTACTGTTATATATATTTAAAAGTACCAGTGTTGGTCCATAAACAAAAAAAAAATAAAAAATTCCAAAATTCAAAGTTGGGTTTATTAGGACTGACCCAAATTTCATAAAATAGTGGCAAGATTTCTCCATCAGGCAAGATATTATTATTATTATTATTATTATTATTATTACCCCCGCCGATTTGACTCGGTTTCCCCAGCCACTTTGGGCAGCTCCCAACACAATATTAACAACACAATAAAACATGAAACATCAAATATTAAAAACTTCCATAAACAGGGTTGCCTTCAGATGTCTTCTGAAAGTCAGATAGTTGTTTATTTCCATCTGATGGGAGGGCGTTCCACAGGGTGGGTGCCACTACTGAGAAGGCCCTCAGCCTGGTTCCCTGTAGCCTCACTTCTTGCAGGGAGGGAACCACCAGAAGGCCCTCAGAGCTGGACCTGAGTGTCCAGGCTGAACAATGAGGGTGGAGACGCTCCTTCAGCCTGATGGATTAGCCCAGTGGCCCACCTAATTCAGTCTCCTATTCTTACAATGACCAAACTGATGCCTGCAGGTCCAGAGCACAAGAGCACCCTCCCTTCCTGTGCTTTCCAGCTACTGGTCTTCAGAAGCATTACAACCTCCGACCATGGAGATTGAGCACAGCCATCTGTCATGGGACAGGAGTCAGCTTCACCTGCTGAACAGCAGCCTGAAGGGGAAGAAGGCAGCTTGACTCCACCTACAGCTGATCAACCTTCAAGGACTCAGAGGAGAAGGAGCTGATGAGAACCAGCTGGCTTTAGCCTTCTTAAGCAGAGCTTCCAGCAGCAGTCAGATGGTGGTAAAAACGCTAGCAGTTCCTGGCCCTACCTTGCTGCTTCTGGCTTGTCTTGACCCTTGACTCCATGATCATTGGATTCCCTGACCCCCGGACCATCTGAGCATGTGGGTTGCTGTTTGTCTGACCCTAGGACTGGACCTGACTCCAGGTACTGACTCTGCCTCCAGGCAAGTACACCTCAGAGACTCTTCTGCTTGGTTGGCCTCCAACTCCACTGAGCCCTGCAGGTTGTTGCTCAGCAATGAGACTATGACCTCATCATTGCTGTTAGCCATTGATAGCCCTCTCCTCCATGAACTTGTCTAATCATCGCTTAAAGTCACCCAAACTGATGGCCACCACTGCCTCCTATGGGAGCCTATGCCTTAGTTTCTGGTAGGATAAATTTCCATAGAGTGGGTGCAGACACCCATCTACAGGGGTGGCCAGGAGATAATAAAACTAACGAAGTATTTTGAGGTACCTCAGCGCCAGTTAGCCTGACCAATGGCCAGGGATCATAAGGAATATAGCCCACGCTATGAAGAATGAGGATTCCTCACTTCAATTCAAAAACATTAATTGCTGCCACACCACTTCAGACACATTACAAGAATTGATTGAGGTCCACAGATATATATATATATTTCTAGGCATGGGGACAAAGCAAACACTAAAAGGGTGGGGCAAGGATAGTTTCCAACCACAAAATAAGAGTAGTGCCTGCATGCTTTGCCTGATATCTCAGGTTCTACAAATGTTCTACACTTGATTTTTATTTTTTTAAATGAAAACTGGGGGTCAGGAGGTTGTGGTTCAGCTGTGGTGGTCAGTTGCTCTGCATATCCTCTTCCAGATGTTCATGCAGGAATCCCTTATTTGTCTCCTAGCTGTGTTCTAGTTGAAGAACCCGTGTCTGGATTGTACCACTTCAGAAGGGAGAGCCGTGTGACTTTTTGTTCCTTCCTGCAAAATCCCTCCAACATTGACAAATAAAAATGAGCACGTCCGAGGAGGGGGGGTTGGAGTAGGCGAGATCTCTTGTCCCTGCCATCTAGCTCCTTCAAGGCATGTGCCTGCATGCGTAAAACATTTCATCAGCTCACCCGTTTAATTAAATATTATCTCTCCCTCTTCCCAAGCACTGGCTCTGGAGTCTATTTTTATTTGTTCTCCCTTTTCCACCTCCAACTTCATTGAATTAATTTTTTCTTCCCTCATCACCACGCTGTGTCTCTCCCCCCCCCCCCCCGGTTCCCTCTCCTCGGTAACACACTTGCGGTTAGCAGTAAGATTTCCATGGAAACATCAGGGACAGTTTGGATGGAGATGAAGGCTACATCTCTCCTGTGAGTTAAAAGGTTACACAGTTCACGTCTCCCCTGAACAGCTTGATCCAAGTCTTCTAACGGTCAATAGCTGGCTGTCTTTTAAGCTGCATCAAGTATGTATGTCCATCCATAAAACTCTGTGTGCATGTCTGGGCAGAGGGTGGGGGCTGACGTCAATTTTTGAAGGTAGATTTAAAAAAAAAAAATTGCTGAGAGCTATCTTGAGCTGTTAAGGGGAGGGGAGTAACAGTTGGGCAATAGTTTGACCAGCTGAAAGGTCACATGGAATTGAGCGAGCTTTCTGAGTCCATCAATTGTGGCCCCAGAAGGTAGGCTGAAGTTCCCATGATACAGGAAATTGCCTGAAGCTAAGTAGGACTAATCAGTGCAAGGGTTGAATAGTAACCTTGTCTGCATCCCATCCTGAAATATGAACATGCTATATTAAAATTAAAATTAAAGAAAGAATTGAAATTCTTCATCAGGATGGATAAGAAGAGAGAAGTGTTTGATGCTTTAATTTTTTGGAAGCTGCCCAGAGTAGCTTGGACAACCAGATAGGTAGCATATAATGATGATGATGATGATGATGATGATGATGATTCTGAATAACAAAGCAAACAGCAGAGTGGACAGGATGTATTGCAGGTCTACAGAAACACTGGTCATTTTCCTACATGGCTCAGTCTAACAAGGGGGTAGCCTTCTTCCAAAACTATGAATCCCTAACTTGATTCTGTTTCTTTTGAAATGTCAAAATATCAAGGGTGCAATATCCTGCTTCGTCACCTCAGGTGAAACAGGAACTTGCTTCTCTGATCCACTGCTACCACACCAGGGGCACTGACTTGGGCCCCAGGTTACGGGTGCCCAATGGCACCCGTGAAATCATGACAGCGCTTCCGAGGCCTCACAGGATCTCCAACGCAACTTCCTGTTTCTTCCGGAAGTCATTTCCATAGGCCTGGCAGGGCCTCCAGTGGGGTCCGGGAGGTCACAACGGTGCTCCGATGCAACTTCCGGTAGAAACCAGAAGTTGCGTTTGAGCCCTGCATTGTGGGTGCTTAGGGTGAAGTGGAAAATGGGTACAAATCAGGCTTGCAGAATAAAAGAGAGAGGTGGCTTCATAAATGGGGTTGGGAAGGCAAAAAGCAAGCTCAGTAGCTGTATTGAGTGGGAAGGGGTTAATGGAAGGGATATTGGTGAGTGGGAGTCAGCAGGGGGGCAGCCCCTAGCAGAACATGACACTGATGTCACTTCCTGTGTGAGTGTGGTCAAGAATCTGCTATGTATCCTCCTTTCATGGAATAATCAGCTTCTGCAGACCACACCCGACAATCCAGGAACCCCAAAATATACTCAGAGGCAACTACAAAATCCTGCAAGCTCTGTTAGCTTGATAATTGTACTGTCTTTGATTTGTGGCATGCATTGTAACATGGCCTGGGTCTTTATAACCTAATAATTTTGTCAGGTTATGAAATGAGCTATCAGGTGTTTTGTGATACACAGTGAACCTTTTTTTATTTGTCAATAAAAAGCAGCAAATGGAACTACAAAACTTCATTGTCGAGCATGTCTCCAGGGTTCAGCTTCCCATATATTCATCGTATGTGTGTTCATTGTCTTTGTGTAGGAATGCATCATGTTGTCTGTAGATCAGGGGCACCGACATGATGGCCATTTACACATTTTTGCTCACAAAGACCTTCCCTAGTGTCCACAAGGTTCCCCTCCCCCACTGCTGAAATTGGGCTTGAAAGAAGCAATCTGTTGGGTGCCAGGTGTGTGCACACACACATTTTAGTGCGCAGTGTTCCTAATGCACATGTTTTTGAATGCATGTTTTGCAGAAACTTTTTTTTTTTTTTTGGCTATTTTTGCAAATATATGGATTTCTACGCACACTTTCCCCTGATATATGCATTTTCGAACACAATATTTGGTTGGAGAAATACATCTCAAATTCTGGAGAAGTGCAAATTGCAGAGGGCAACTGTATTTCAGTCACAAGTTCCAGGAAGTGTGAATTAGGTTAAAATGTGACCCATGTTGAAATTCTTTGCCACCCTTACTGCATGGAGCCGTGCCTCAATTTGTCTGCTTGTACATTCAGCGACTTTCAACAGCTGGATGTCCAGAGAGGAACTTCTCTGCTATCTGTGCATACTGTAAATGCACAAAGAAGAGTCCTAACGTCTGAAAAGGGCGAAGATTGTGGCTGATTTAGCACACTGGCCCTTTACAAGGGTGAGAGAATAATTCACCAAAACACTGTGATGTTTAATCAAATGTAATGAATGAAGCACTGGTGGACTTGGCTTCAAAGTTTCCTTTCTGCTGTCATCATTTCAGAATTGATTATCTAATAGACACTTGGCTTGTTTGTTAATTCTCAGCTGGGAAGCAGAAATTTAGTTTGCAGTTTCACAGCCTTGTGTGTTGTACTCAGCTTATGTACCATTCATACTAGGCTTGCCAACTCCATGGGGCTAAGGTAGCCTTTCTCAACCTGTGGGCCCCCAGATGTTGTTGAACTACAACTCCCATCACCCCTAGCTAGCAAGGCCAGAGCTCAGGGATGATAGGAGTTGAAGTCCAACAACATCTGGGGACCCACAGGTTGAGAACCACTGGGCTAAGACCTCTACAGACCCCCATGTCCACTGGGATAGGGTTCAGCACCCCCAATCCTGAGGGGGCAGAGGAGACCTGGTGGTAAGTTGCCCCGGGCAGTGCTGCACTGGGAGAGAAAGAGAAAAGAAAAGAAAAGGCAAAGTCCTCTCTCAAATGAAGCTCTTAACCCTTGTCACCCACAGAAAGTGGGGGACCTTTCCATTTCTCTTCTGAGAACTTTCTTTTATTCTCCCAGTCATTCACTCTTGAAGGCCTCCCCTTCCCTGCCTCTCACTTAGGGTCCTTCCACCAACCATAAACCACCTTCACACATGCGTAATCCTTGGACCCCAAGAACAGCTTCAGAGCAGAAGGAGTGCTGTTCATTTCTAATGAAGAAGTCAAGTACTCCATGAGGGCACACTAACCAGCCACCACACTGAATAGTGGACAGCTCAGACTTCTCTGATAGGGATCTCCCATCTCTCCAACACATGAGCCCTTCTTTCATTTCCAAACTCTGATTGTTGAATGAAGCTGGCTCTCTAAATTCACTTGACACTTTGCAGACTGTTTGCAAGCAGTGAGATGTGTGGGAGCAACTCTTGGGCCCGTCGCCTGGTATCTGGCTCATGAAGACCTCATCAGCTAAATGTTCCTAAACACCACTTCGGGTTAAAGCAATTCCAAAGGCATAAGATCTAATCTTGCATCCAGAGGATATTAACTCCAGAAATTGTTTTGAAGCTGAACTCTTGGCTACAAATGGAAGAACACAATCAAAGAGGAGCGTTGTGTTTAGTTAAAGTTGACTTTCCCCTTCCACTACTTTCTCCCTTCTTTTATCCCTTCCTTAAATAGCATATCAACTGTCAGCTCTACTTACTTTGAAACCCTAAACCCTGAGAGGTCGTCCTTACATGAGTAAATTAATTATTTAGTGAGTGATGGATTACATGACATAGAAGCAGTTCGAATGCCCCAAGTCGATGATGGAGGAGTAAGATCTGAGATCTGAGCTTAGCATGGAGAGAACAGGAAGGAAGTGAGGGGAAACAGCCAATTGTTTTGCGCTTACCACAAATGAATTGAAAAATTTAATGCCGCATTCCTCCAGTGCTTGTTCCTAGGTAGAAGAAGAAGAGTTTGGATTTGATATCTCGCTTTATCACTACCCTAAGGAGTCTCAAAGCAGCTAACAATCTCCTTTCCCTTCCTCCCCCACAACAAACACTCTGTGAGGGGAGTGAGGCTGAGAGACTTCAGAAAGT